CTAACGATCTCGAGGCGAGGCACAGGGGGAATTCAGTGAGCGAAGCACGTCCTGCCCCGCAGTCCCCGTCCTACCTTGCGCGCTTCGCTTGCTGACCCCTTGCTGAATTCTGTTTTTGGCGCTCGTCAGCTTGCTTCGCTCGTCCAATTTTTTTCCGCCTTCGCCGCTTGTTCAGAGGCTATTACCGTGGCCGAAAATATCTTCAAAGTTTCAAATATCGCTACTTTGCAGGTACTGCCACAAAACAAACAAAAAAGCATCAAGAAGTAATTAAATTTGTGTAGAACAGTGTAGAGATGACGAGTCTATGGCCAATCATAAAATGTTACGAGTTGGAGAAAAAAGGGCAATATTTCATACGAACACTACAACCGAATCAAACGTAGGATTAGAATTTTGCATGAAGGATCCCGCAAATTAAGAAAAGCGGGCAGTAGCAGTTAACGCGACAGCTTGAGGGACGTGGGAGCACTATTCCTACTCCCCGGGAGTCCTAACCCCTCCACCCCTTCCCTCCGCCCCTTCCCACCGCCGCTTTCCTCCGCCCCTTCCCTCCACCCCTTTCCTCCGCCCCTTTCCTCCTCTCGACAGAAAATAATAGTAAATAAAAAAACCAGAAAGATTGGCAGACATTCAATTTCCCGCTAATGTTTATCTGCTTTATGGTTCTGATTATCAAAGCGGTTTTGATCCTGTTCCTAAAGTAAACCAAGCCTCACATAATATCGTTCATGTGTAACAGACACTGTTTGTTACTTCCTCCTGAAGAAGGAAAGAGCGGAAAAGAGCATCAATATTATCTTAACTTACTGTTTAATCATTGTAGCTTCGCAACCCGAACCATCCTCCGCCAGAAATTGGCAATGATTCATTTATTACGCGGTAAAGGTATTACGGAGGGTATTAAGGCTCGGCTATTGTTTGAATAACCAGTTGAGTAGCAGGAAAATCTTTTACTGGGTTCAGTATATTTTAAATCGTTCTTATAACTAAACCAACGCATGATAATTTTGTTAGGTTTCTAAGTTAATAATATCTTCAGAAATGAACGACGGCTAAACACGCTGAAACATCTGCCTCGTCTCGTAGGTGCCTTTGAATTTTTTGGTGAAAAGTGGGAAACAAAGAGCGCGGGGCTCGATGATATGGTGACGAAAGACACAGCCCAGTTATGAAAGAATGTGTTCATTTAATAATGCACTGAATTGTAAGGGAAAGTCAGTCATTTTTAACATACGAGCATAT